CAACAAGTGGTAACAAATAAAAGTAAAAGACTATATGATGGGCTTATTGCAAATAGTCACAATACATATTTTTGATGGAGTAGGACTCTTAAGAACGTTTTCGATAAAAACATTACAACGACACAAACTTTTTTAAATATCACAGAGCTCTTTACAATGTGCAATTGATGCTTTCCAGTTAGTACCGTTTAATAAATTAAGTCATTATTATGGAAACGCCACTCACTTAGAAACACACAACTTTGTTTCTTGCTGTTCTATGGGAAATTAAACCATAGATTAAGAGAACTTTTTTGATATTCTTGAGGTCTGTTATTAACTCCTTAAATATCCCCTCCCTTACTTAAGGAACTCGCTGTATACCTAGGACGCTCGGTTCAGACTGCACTGAGTGACGGTTGGGTACAATACACGATCTTTCAGACTTACCGTCTGATTAAAAAAAAATGGCGTAACATAAGTAAAAAGTAAAAGTTTGTAACCAAGATTAAGGAAGCATTGAAAAAAAAAAAAAAAATAGAACTCTTCTCTCTTTAGTTTCCTGTGACTAATTATTATTTTTTTTTTTAGCATGTGCATGTGCTCTGATATCTTTTATCTTGACTTTCGTTACTTGATGTTTATATGTGGCATGCCATAGTGTTGTATATAGAATAAGTATCTTTTTTGTTATTTTATTACCTTTATTATCTTAAGTATGTTCCTATTTATTGCTAATTGTACATAGTAATTATGTTTAAATTCTCTCTTTTTCTTTGTATTTTATTTCTTTTTCTTGTACATGGTATTATTTCTGTAAATATTTCTTTCTGTAAATAGATATCTTAACCTTTTTTTCTGCTTTATAAAAATATCCAACCTAACCCCTTTTCACCTGAGCATGGTAGGATAAATGATAAATCATGGCCAAATAATGGGTAAGTAACTTATATTCTCTATATTTATCTCGTATGAGATGAAATGCTAGTAAAGCCAGGCGCCCAACAGTAAAAATTCCGATAGAAAATTATTTTATTATCTTTTATTTATCGTTTTTCTGGTCATAAGGTATGCCATGTGTTCCGTCGTCATCTACCGAAAAATGACTCCTTCTTGGTAAGGTGTGTGGAACTGGTAACTGTTAATGAGTTTGTTTATTATTTGGGCGATCGTTGCAAATTGAAGTTTAACTGCTTTCATCAACTCAAATCTGTCATAATCAGTGGCGTAAATAATTCGGAAGCTTCCCCTTCGCAGTCTAATTCGATACGTCCATACACTGGGTGTTCTCCCTCCTTCCACTCATGCATGTCTACTGTAGAACCTTATTATTCAACAAAAACACAGAACTTCATTAACTATGATAATTTGATTCATTATCTCTACATTCGCTTCTACTGTGTGCCTGGCCATTAATAAGGACCTTTACCCATTAACAGAGAGAGAAGTTGGAAAATATCAGACAGGACTTAAAGGAGGGATATCTACAGTTGATCAAATATTCAGTCTCCGGATGATTATCGAGAAGTCTCAGGAGTATTTCACCACCCCGTATTCAGGAGTCCTTATGATAGCACATTAAAAGACCCAAATTGTATACAGCTTTGAAAGAGAGAAGATCTGTTGAAACTGGTTCCAATGGAGCAAGATGTCCATGGACGGTATGATATGTACTGTGCCGATTCAGTCAGATCTTTTGGTCTCCATAGTTATAAGATAAGCCAGATCTCCATAATTTGAATCAGCAGAGACGTTAGGCAGGGCGATTGTTCAACTTAGCCTTAGAGAGCGTCTTTCGTGATTCGGGTGTACAGGCTCAGATGGGAGGACACTGTTGCCAGGGATATCCACAACCTGCTCAACATCTGCACAAGATGGATCTACCTGGCAAAGAATTGTCGAGGAGTCCAAGAACCACATCGGTCCGGAGCGCCAAGGAGTGTGTGTTTATCAATATGTACTTTTATTTACAATATTAATAAACTGCTCTCTCTATTCAAAAAGCTCTCATCTTTTCATTGAATATAAAATATATCTTTGCATTGTTGGTCACCTTCTTTAAAGCGAAGACCTCGGACTCGCTCCTGCTTAATACTCCAGTTTCCTGCAGCATTTAGATAAATAGATAGAAAATAACTTTATTTTGGGACAAATTCCCTTGAAAATAACAAAGTAGTACAAAAATAAAATATTACATCTGGCCTAAATAAGAATAAAGAAAACATTTAGTAAACATGCTTTATAAAAAGCCAAAAAAACAGTACAAAAAACTATAACAAGACGCTTAAAAATATATTCAGTGTTAAAACAGTATAAATATACACTTTTAAGAAAAAATACATTAACTTCTTCATAAAAAAAAAATAAGCTCTGTGTGTCTTGTATTACTCGTCGCATTGCTCAGTTCAAAGGATAACTCTACCCTTTCTATATTTTAAACAACTTTTGAACTAGTTTTTTCCTTTCCTTTGTGTCTCTTTCGCCTCTTGGATCGGTGTGCCCCTCCGCGACGCAAGGATACACTAAGGTTGTGGTTCATTCTGTTAAAAGTATTATTTAAAATTGTGGATTCTTTTCTGCAACAAAACGGCAGTTTTGTACTTGTTTAATCTATGGTAAAACGAATACCCTTGTTTGTAATCTAACACAAGCGATAGACATTTTAAGTTGGTTGGTTAAGCAATTAGGAGCATGAAACAGAGATTTTGGATTGGAGGGACTGTAATCATTTCATATCAGTCCGGTAACAAAATAAATTAATTTAAAAGTCCCAGTTATGTATTTAAAATCGTTTGATTGACTCTACAATTATGTTACCAGATTTTGGCGTGACTCGGAGGCGTTACGTTGGTCGGATGAGAGTTGGGACACCCCGCAATGACGCTTTATCATGCCATGATCGCTACGCCCTAATGAAGGTATCGGTTTTCTATTTTGGACTGGGAGACTGATAGCATCGTTCAATTTGCTTCCGTGCGAGCGCAATGAAATAAATGGTGTCTATTCATTTATCAGTGCTGCAAGGCTGTTTTGGTGCGTACAGTCGCCCGCCGTTTGTTTTATGTTCCTGGCATGATGTGGATCCTCTACTCTTGTATTATCGTTACTACTCTACCCCCGGGTCTAGGCAAACTGGTCCTCGAGACGCAGGGTAAGGTCAACATCACCAACGTAATCCATGCCTTCGGGTACACTTTGGGGCGTCACTTCTGCGTTCAGGTTTGTTTCATGATTCCATTTTTTTTTTCTTTCAAACTCGTGTTTTGGGTTTAGTGTAATGATGATTGACAGATTCTTACGGATAAATGAATGATGGTCAATCGAACCATCAAGTTATTTAAAAACTTATTTTAGTTTGTTAAAAAAATACTTAATACAACCGTTTATACTCTGCACCTCCCTGCAGGGATGCCCCTCCCTCCCTCCCCACCGAGGTCAATGGCGCATGATCCTCCCTCCCTTCCCCCAGATATTTTATTGTTCTCCTCTTCTTAAAAATATTAGAAATACCAAGAAGTGCTGTAAATCATGAACAATTATATATGCTGAGGTTTGTTCCATGGATTCCTTTTGTCTCCTTATTTAAATTTTTCATTTCATATATAGGGATATCATTCATTTTAATGGCGCAACTTGCCCCATGAAACCCCCTTCTGGGCACCCCTGCCTCCCCATACTCTTCGCTCCAGATCGTCGCTTCGGTTGCATTGGTGTTATTAACGCCACTGATTATTATCACAGTGAAGTCTGTTCCCTACCTACTATATATATATATATATATATGTATATATATATATATATATATATATATATATATATATATATATATATATATACACACATATATATTCTACCTCTATCACTCTCTATATTTCACATTCATTAATGTGTAATGGTGGTGTACCTAATTGAGAGCAATATAGTGTTAATGAGTATGTCTAGAAGGAACAAAAGTTTACTCATTTAAAATTTAAATTTAAAATTAGTACTCAAGCAAAACACCTTTGAGAATGTATTATTAGAGGTATGCGTTTTATTTTTACCCAACAACCTCTGCCATTTGCTTACAATACCGTGAAACATATAAGGATAATGTTTAAGTTTCATCTATTGATCACATCTTCACCGATATATAATTAATCACCACCAGAATCCGTTGTATAACTATAAGTAGCAATTTCACAATTATAATTATAAATACATCACATAAAATTCAGCAAATGGTTTCCATGGTTTTTTTTTTCGGCCATGATATCTGCTAGGAAAGGCTCTTCTATTAATTGTAAATATATGATCTTGACGGGATATCTCATTTACTCAACAATGATAATCTATCGTATAAACATTCAGGCGATAGTCCTTACATGCCTGATTGTGGTACTATTTTTAGTTGTTGAGTGGTTTTTATAAAAACTTCCTATAAGCTAGAAAGAGCATTTACCAAGAAAGAAACTCTCTCTTAACAAATTCGAAGAAACCTTATAAGGATAGGGTATTGTGAATACAAATTCAAAATTTCTACAGAACTTCAACTGACGGAATAACAAAACCGTCTAGTTCTAGGGATATCATATCACATCGCCCACGTAGTATCACATAATTTTATCCTCATTCCCTCTAGTGGACTATATCTCCATCAGTCACGATAAACTCATAATTTATTCTGAATTTAAATTTTTGCTTACTATTGAAGTTTCTATAGAGTTTTATAAAATTAGACAGGTGCCGGAATTTTTTTCGAATGATGAGACTATTAATTATATATTTTCCTTAAAGGCTTCCAAGATTACTTTTAGTTTTATCCCTCAACCGTACGATCAGACTTTACTTTATGATAATGGATTAGACCAAGCTCCTAACCCAGGGCTGCGCTCATCGATGGCCTAGGATTAGTCTCTAAACTGGGCGAAGAACGATGCCATCGATGACCTAAGTGCTTAGTTTAAGAACTTTCCTTACATTCGACTAAATATCATATTCACACGCTCCAGGTGATCTCGGATGGCTCAGACTTCGGTGACATGCTGCTTCGTGGGATCCATCACTCTTCAAGGCCTCTGGTGAACAGCTTCCAGCAAGTCTGTTCCGGTTTCTACCTGATCGCTGAAGACCTCTCTGGGATGGAGTCGCTGCTCAGCAAGCTCAAGCGATGGGCGAGGCACAGGATTCTCTGTGTACTCCCGCTTATACCAGAAGAAGAATTCCAGAACTTTCTTGAGGCAAAGATTAAACATTCGTCATATGGTTTTCTAATTTGTTTTTGGTTCCATTATACGTAATTTTTATTTTATTTTTTTACAACAAAAAGTATTCTGAAAAAGTCAAAATGCCTATTTTAGTTTTAAACAAAATATGTCTTTAGCCTCTCCTGATTTGTTACTTAAACAATTAATAATCACTGTTTTTTATCCTTGCTCTAGCCTCACATATTACTATTATTAATATCATGCCATATAATCCACTATAATAATAATATTTATTATTAATTTATTTTTGTTATTGCATTCGTGTCTTAATGCACTGCACTACTGTGAATTTTATGATTTATCTAATGTGTGTCTACTCATTATGTCTTTTTTTTATGTGATTAAATTGCATGATCGTACAAATGCAAAAGCTTTAGAGGATAGAAAATTTAAATTATAAAGTAAAATCTCCTTCACTATAATTAGTATCAGATAATATAAAATATAATTATAATTTTTTCTGCAATGTTTTTTTGTCTCTCAAAGGATCCTATATATTATTTCTAAAAGGTGTTTTTTTGTCGGTTCGCCATAACTTCGTCAATTCATTTTAAAGATATTCTTCTCCTTCACATGCAAAAAATAGTCCTATCCCTCCGAAATTTCTGAAAAAACGTTATGAAGTAAAAGAAACTTTATTTGCGAATAACCCAAAAAGTATGCGTTTTTTTCGTAATTGTATTCATGATAATTAGAAAGATTACTAAATTACCTACAAAACAAAAAAAATCGTACAATTATAGAGTAAAAATCGGACAATTATTAACAAAGATACATTGCATTAGTTTTGGTATACTTAATAATGTCTTCCTCTTTAAAGATATTGCATTTAGGAGTAGAATAGCCTAGTAAACTTTTTTTCCTGGGTAATATATTAATTTTATTATTTCTTAAAGGCATTTGTTTGTTCTTACATTTTATTATTTGTAATAATCTAGAAAATCCCATGAACGGGACATTATTTTGTCTTTATTATTTTTATTATCTTATCAGTCAGAGTTTAAAAATAGGTCCTAGCAAAGCAATTTGTACAAATATTTTGGTGTATTATGTTAAAAGAAATATTGTAATCGACCAAAGAAAAAATATTAATTCGATCCTCACATAAAATATAGGATCTATTTATTTTCATGTTTTTTTGCCATTTCTTCAATAAACAAAATTTTCTGCGAATTTTTTTCTGCGGGCGAACTAATTAACTATTAAAAAAATATTATATATTTTTGTTTCATGTAATTTAAAATTATAATATATTTTTTTAATCATAACTACAATTTTTATTGAATAAATTTAAATTCGGCAATTATAATTTTTTCTCCAATGTTTTTGTTTACCTCTGAAACGATTGACTATTAAAAAAAAAAGATAATTTCTCCTAATATTGTTATTTCGAATTTCGGACGATAGTAGCTAATTGAGTACTTGTTAAAAAAAAAACGCAAATACTTTGCCTGCAATAGAACTCAAGTGATAAAGAATGTACATAAGAATGACAGTGTACTTTTTTATTTTCACTTACGTATATATGTATTATATAGTAAGGGTAAGTATTGCGATCGAGAAAATTTTTTAATCTGAAACGGAAATACACATTTTGAGGTACCCTGAGTCGAAATGACCAAGTCCCGAAAAATGGTCTATGTGTCTGTGTGTTTTTATGTAAGCAGTCTAGCTCAAAAACGAAAAGTCCTACGAAACTGATATTACGTATTTAAGATAGGTATATGCCTTAGATGTGACAGCAACTTTTTCCTTAAAATCGGCTAACCGGAAGTGCCACTTTATATCAACGCTGAAACACATTTTCACAATTTTCTCAAAAACGGCTCTAACAATTTTGATTAAACTCGGTGTATCATTGTATAATTAAGTATTCTTTAATATCAGTTAGGTCTTATCCCCATTGATGTCACTTTACAGGGCTTAAATGCCCAATGTTCATATACGTCTTCCTCTAAAGTACCTTTAATATGGTTTATTTTAAAAAGTTAATTATTTCGCATTATTAACAATATAAAAATGTTCATATCTTGATAAAAAACTTAAAACGAAAGGTCCTTTAGGAGCTGTGATGTGGACTGAGAGTATGGCCTGAGCCCACTGTAGCCTGACGTTTACGACTAACAAACACAATAATCTCGAACCTCTCTCAGCTCTAGTATATTTATATATTTATTTTTAACAATGGGAGACTTCTCAACCACTGAGGATCATTTTAACCCTTGCAAAATATTTATTACACAATGCAAAATTCAACAATATACTTGATGAAGGTAAGAAAGGAAAAACACAAAAAATAAAAATTAGAAAATTAAATTTTGTTGAATAATCGTGTTTTTTGATGAAACAAAAACAACTTCTTTGCCATCTTCGTATTGCTTTTTTAAAATTTCGCTTATATTGTTCTCTAACACTACTTCATTACGATGCTGGTCATAGACATGACACTCAGTCAAGATGGCTTACTGTATAAACACAAGCTCTAAATCTAATGATAAGCTATATATATAAAAATACGTTTACAAAAGCCAATAAAATAAATTTCGAACTAAATATTTCCATTCAGAAACTTAAGGATGAGATAGAAAAAATAGAAAGATAATTCTTTTATAAAAGTTTTGAAGCTGGAAACATTATTCTAAGCATATGACGTAGTAGTGTCACCACTTTCGTGACGAAGCTTCTTCTTTTCTTATTAATGAAAATTTAATGTTTCAAGAACACTGATGTCTGTTTTCCATCCCATGTAGATGGGATATACTCTTGTTGTATCGAGTACCTTAATTTATAATGATGAGATTAACAAAATGCAGTGATGTCTTTTGAAGGACTCGAATACTCTCTGGTTCCAGAACAAGGTGGGCCTCTTCAGAGATGCAGAGGTGTTGGTCACCATGACGGAGAGCTCGATTGGCTACCAACTGACTTATACCCTGCGGAGGTTTACACCTATCAAGTATCACGGGATGCAGTGGTTACATGAAACGGTGATTGTACTATTTATTTACTCTGTTGTCAGATGGTTACCTAACAAGTAGTCCTAATACAAAATAAATATTATGTCCAAAATAAGTAAACAGGTCCACGAAATATTGCCTAAGTAGCCACAACAGAGTTAATGTTCATTATATCATGCTAGAATTTGTAATCAGTCTTAAATAAGAATATATTTATTTTATATTTTTTTTTATTATAAAACTAATTTTAATTTAGTTGATCATCCTTTTTTATTTATGTTCTTTTTATTTGTCATTTTAGGCAAGAGGCAAGCAGGATTTCCACGGGAGAGAGATTAAAGTAGCGACATTCAACTGTTCTACCTTCTCCAGAATTAATTATCCTTACTTAGGTTAGGTACCATGCTCATATAACCTATACTCATCTCAGATGAGAAATTTTTTTTTTTTTTTTTTTATTTCAATGGAATTTACAACTGTATTACATAGAGAATACAATAAATAAATGAGAAATTTGTAACATGGCATGTACAACATGAAGAGAAACTACCCATTGGTAGAACTCAAATTAAAGTTCTATATTAGAAGATCCCGAGGCCATCTTCTTTTCAGACGCCTCGGAGGGTTATCAGGGATCGAGGAGGAAGCAAGGTTTGAAACGAGAGGATTCGGATGATTCTGCAGTTTGTTATGGAAGGAAAGGTATCTGGATTGGGCCACATCGGAAACATATGGAACGTTAAGCTCTTTATGGATGATTTTATTTGTGACAAAGTAAGGAGCGTTGAGGATTTTACGAAGGATTTTGGATTGTAAGGATTGGATACGAGAGGAATTCGATGGTTTAGTGGAGCCCCAAAGCTCAATTCCGTAAGTCCAAATAGGTCTTATTATTGTCATATATACGAGTCGTTTATAATTGATTGAAAGCTTAGATCGTTTGTCTAGTAAGTGCTGCAGTAGTCGAAAACGTCGGGCGGTTTCTAGTCGTTTCAGTCTGGTATGGGGGTGATGAGAAATTAAATTTAAAAAAAAAATAGAATTTACCATACTGGCTAAGGCAAAAATAAAATCCGACGATGAACTGGCGGAATAATAATTCTTTTCTATAAAGATTTTTTAAATATGTGCACCAGATTTAAAGTACGCCATGTCCATTTTTATATTAAATAATTTAGTAATTAAGAAATAAATTTTAAAGCTCAAAGTAATGGAAAATTAATTCTCTGAACAAATAGAGAAATGTGACATGTTATCCTTTATCTCCGGAATACAGATTTAGTAACTACGAAATAAATTTTAATAACTCAAAGTTAAGGAACATTGGCTCCTCTCAACGAATGCAAATATGGATTAAGTGTTCTTTATCTTCGGCGTACAGAAATGTTTTCTTTTTTTGTTTGTTTTTTGTTCTCATTTGAAGTTGGGATTGGTAGATATTTGAAGAGGAGTTAATAAATACTTTGACACTTTAAATTTGTTTTCGTTCTCTTACAGAGCCTCATTATTTCCTAACCACTACACTTCTATAGTAAAACTCCGATTTCAGCCATTGTGAAAAGCCGCTATTTAGATTTCCTATGAATGAAGAAAACAGTTTGTTAATGCTTCTTAAGATTCTAGTTTTTTATCAACATCATAATAGTATTAAGAAGCAACATCTACAAAATTAAAAGCATCCAATTGCTTATTTTCTATGACTTTCAAAATACTGCCTATTCAAAGTAACTAAACTTGTTTATTCAATTGCCCATTAGGTGACTATGAATTGAGAAAATAATAATTTATGTTATTAAATTCCAGGTTTAATTCACTTAAATTCTTGGAGAGGTGAAATAATAGAAAATAAATTTTTAAAAAATTATACTGCAATACCTTTCTTTTGAAAGAAAATCTACATGAGATAACCGGAGCGATGTGGAATCAGAATACAAAAGCTTGAAGAGAAAAAAAAACAATAAAGAACTTCTTATTGATACCGGTTTATCAATATCACAAGATATGGAAGGTAAAGATAGATAGGAGGTAAAGATGGACGGGACATGTAGTTTGGAGCAATACATCAGGAAATCTCAATACAACAATGGATACCTCAATAGCTGGTGAGATACAACATAACATAACATAAAAACCAGAAGGATGGATCGAATTAATAAAGATAATACAGAGCTGCGTGCAGACAATTGCAAAGCAAAGACCCAAGTTAGACAAAGTTGAAGAAGGCTGGTTGAGGAGATTAACGATTCACAAAATTGGAAAAGCCAAAAACTACTTTTCATAGTTTTTTCTTATACAATTATTTATCTGTTTGAAAACGATTACGAAAGCTTTATTGTGAATATGTATTATTAGTCACGTCTATCTGAAGAACAATGGGAAAAAGTAATTCCATCCATCTTTCCACCTTTCTTTGCCTAACATAGGAATGTCTCCCACAAATCAATAAGCGGAAAAGCTCTCACATCCTCTGGTTTTTATTCTGCGAGATGCATTCTCTCTTGATGGTCGACGGGTCCCTAGAAGCTATCATTTGAACTCTCACTGTGCTGTCATTATTTACCACCTCATTCTGTATTTACTATTTGTCATTTAGACAAGATTTTTAACTGAATCTTGATTTGGAATGCCAATTTGAACTGCAGAGGAAGCACTGGATTTTGAATAAAGAGCTGATGTAAATGTACCAGTAATAGACAGTTCTCAGCACATCCAGTAACAAGCAACATCCTTTATATTTCCTAGAGAGAGAGAACAAATATGAGTGGATCCGCAGTTAAAAGACTTAAAGGGGTAATGCCTGAACCTCAACTGATATCATTCCACATTAGCATATTATTAGTTGATTTGTTAATGGAGCAAGGCTGGAGGTTTATTTCAGGTGGGTTTGTTTATCACTTTTCTTCAGGAGATTAAATTGAAATTGAAATTTTGATTTATTCATCTGTATTTTGCCATTTCTTTGTTTAAAACTGTGCAGAAGGTATTTATTTATTTTGCTTCCTCACTACCGAAGGTAGGGAAGCATTGTGTTCGTGCGAGAGTTTAAAAAAAATTTTGTGCTCAGAATCGAAAATTTCCATTCGTGTTTTACGTTTCTGACATCAAGGATCAAATTTGTTTCGGTGTCTGCCTGTCTGTAGTCAAATCGATGTGATGGGCTATCGCTTAGTACCGTTCATCTGATTTTCATGAAATTTTCAGGGATTATGTGGATTGGTGCCTAGATGGTCCAATATCAATTTTATCGAATTCAATTTAGCACTTTCGCTTACGCACGCGTAAACCTATTTTTTTAGATATGCCAATATTTCAGGAAGGGGTCATTCTATTTTAATGCAAGTTAGATAAAATATAAGTAATGGTAAAAAAAAAATAACGTAATGCCAATTTTATTGAATGCTGTCCTCTAGTTTCTCTTATATATACGCAAACGTGTTTTCCTTGATAGGTCTACATCTCTAAAACCACATGCCCGATTTGGCTCAAATTTGGAGGGAAGTTAGGGATTGGTAAACAGATAATCAAGTAGATATGGATTTTATCAAGTTCCATCCACTTCTCCTAGAAAAAAGACTTTCGTTTTCGGATCAGCAAACGTATTATTGGCAAGCCTATAGTTTAAAACTGCGCGCTCAATTTGACCCACACATGGAGGTAATTTGTAGAATTGTGCAGTAATTTCCTAATATGAATTTCATTGAATTCTATTTAATAATTAAAATTATTATAAATAATTATTAACAATATAATGGCAGTGAAATGTAAAAGGCACTGATCATATGGAGTAGGACTTAGGTTATGACAATATTTTTATGGGGTTTTAAAATTTTAGGTTTCATCCAAAGAGTTAATTTATACTGTATTGTTTCGTCGAGTTTTTATATTAATTTTTACTTTGAGTTTGTAAAAAAGGAAAATCTTATTTGTGATTGTGTTTATTTCTATTAAAGTTCAAACATGATATCAAGTTTATGTGTAATTTTTATATTCCAGCTGAAATAGTATATTGTTCTGAAATAAATAATTGTTCTGACTGAAGAAAAATACTAGTCTCGTTAACTCTGAAAAAACAAAAAACTTTAGTTTTTCTTATTTCTCTTATGGAGTTTTCGTAACATCGTAACATCCGATTTTACGAGTGAAAACATGCCGATTAAGTATATATTACTACTGTTAGTACAAAAGGTCGTAAGGATTCCGCTACGATGAAAAATAACACAGAGCAATAGATTATGAAATTATACTAATAAATGATACTGAAACAATTAGTTTTAATGCTTTCCTGTAAAACACTCTACTTTTTGTGAATTTTTGCACTAACAGTAGTGAAATTCATGTTCAGTAAGTACTCGATTTTTTTTTAATCCCGAATACTCAAATATGCAATCTGCATATGCGGAACCTTTTTTGCATTTTTGTATTCGCTGATGAACAAAATTCGTGAATATCAAATCAGTATATGTTGAGGGATTACTGAGTGTCCGAAAAAGGCTTTTTCCATAGATTTTATTCTCCTTGGAATATAGATATTTTTTAGCCAATACAAATGGTGAGGAATGTATACTGACCTTCCTTAGCAGAGTTTTTTTTTTAATTATATAAAAAACTCATTGACCCCAAAACTTGAGTGTTTATTACTAGTGTAATATACGCTGTCAGGATTCCCTAAGTTTTCCATGAATAATTAGCTAATTGACTTTATAGAAAAAAAATCGATAAAACACTAAATTTACTGAAAACTAAGCACATTTGCCAATATCCACCTTCAGAACTAAAGATGTTCAAATAAATGTTGAAATTTCTCTTAAAGTATCTATTTCCGGCAGGTTTAACTTATATTCTTAAAACAATTATAGAAATTAAGTGAAGTGCTTAATTTAATATAAGTTCGAAAAATGAGACTTAAATCCATGCAAATATATATCTTAGTTTGCATAATAAGCTTCAATTTCATTTCAAGAATTTCTACTAAGTAACAATTTTACTTATGTAACATTTAGGTACTTTTTGAAAATGTAAGTGTTGCTGATAATTCATAAGAAAGAATATTTCTTGCGAACATTCATTTAAGGAAAAACTGGCTGCAGATTCATGCCCACAGGACGGGTTCTGAAATCTCTTTAGACTCGCTCCGATAGATCGCGTTCTGTGAGATTGTGATAATGCAATAACACTAGACCATTAGATTGCAACAGAAAGAGATTGCTGATCGCGTTCTGTGTGCAGGAGTATTAAGCCAACTGGAATATGAATAATAAATCTGATTTGAACATATACTCGAATAAGAAAAACTAAATATAACATTATGAAATCAAAACTCTTTGTTATCTCTCTTACTTCTCCACCCGTTGGATGACAGAGATGCAGATTGCTAACTAACCGTTACCTTGCAGACGGCTCGGAGATGGCGATCTTCCTGGAGGTGGCCAGGAGACTAAACCTAACCTACAGGTTCATCGTGCCCAACGGGAGCAGGTTCCCGCTGGGAGTGCTGAAGGATGGTCTGTGGCGTGGCGGGCTCCTGGGTCTGCTGGCCTCCGACGAAGCCGATGTCGGGTTCTGCGGCCTCTGGATAGCCAACAACAAGGTTTCTCATCAAACATCAGCTATTTATAATACCATGATAGTGGGTTGATGGTTGTCTGTAGTCCCTCATGAAAGGTTTCCGTAAGATAAAGAATCTTACGGGAACCTTTCGCGAGATCAGCCCTGATGAATGCCTGATATTTGGTCCGAAGCGTCGGTAAAAATAAAAATAAATATTATTTATTATTATTTTATATTTTGAATGAACACTTCAACCAACCTCTATTCTATTTATAATGCCTTCTTTTGACCTAGAACACCATGCTTTTGACCTTCTGAATTTTTAAATTTTCATATGTTTTCAAGCTCAAACCTTAGTTCTGTAGCTCCTTCACTTTGTTTGCTTCATTTAATCTTTTTATCACCCAGAACGTTTGAGTAATAAAAAGATAGAGAAAAATATCTCTCTGTTTACAATTAAAAATTATTTAAATATTGGTATAATTTATAATAAGTATAGAAGGAAGTTAATCGACTGTTCTACATATCATGAGTGATAAATTTGCAGGACGCAGTCATATTAGTGCCGACGTTTCAACTCGGGTCCCTCGGGTACTCGAACCACGCCCTGATGATGATCCACTTGTTTGGATTGAAACGTCGGCACTAATAAAAACCTTATAATGACTGCGTCCTGAATATTTATCACCCATGATATATAAGCATGTACTCTTTCACAAAACCTTGCGAAATAACTTAAGAAAACTGGCTGTTTGAAACATGTATCCTTGTTTAGCCAATCAAACAACGACTACCGTGGTGCACGAGTGCAATTCAAGAATTGTAGTAAACAGGTTATTAGTTTCAGAAATATGTTAGTTTTTAATTTTTAGCCAATGACCTTCATATCACATTTGTTATTGACCTAATCCCAGACAAATTTTCCGAATTTCACCAGAAACTCACTCATCATCCAAATCCAGTAGCACAATCCATATCTAGCTCCAGCCATCCCTATAATCCTCCCCGGAGGTTAAAACGGCAGTGGTCCCGCGACCTTTTGTAAATATGTATATATTGGAGTACTGGCAATGGTCAGATTCTGCATTCATGTCCTGAGCGTCTGTTGCTCTAGTGCCCTCCATCAGTCTCCACTGGCTTGTAATACCAGTGACGCGGCTGGGAGAGAAGCACTGGGATCTCCTGGGGTCCTGCCTTGGCTTCCACATTTGGGGGACAAAGCATGACTCATAATCCTCTGGGTGAATGTAAATATGGTATGTAGGTGTGAATGTGTTTTATATATTTCAATTTCATTTAGCTTTTCTCTATTTTTTTAATTTTTATTTATTTATTTTTATCTATGTATGTTAAACTCTTTTTCTGTTATTTCTGTTTTAGTTATCATTTGTATGTATATATTGTGTGAATATTTAAGGTAGCCCTAATACTAATTAATGCCCTCCAATGCGGCAGAATGTATTAATTTTCAAATAAAAAAAATTAAAAAAATTAGCTATAAAAATAATTTAGAAACTTTTTATATTTATTTTTTTAAATTAGAAAATATCAATATATTTTTACGATAAATTAATCTTTATTAGAAATTAATCCCCTTATCCTCTGACAACCATGGAGTCATCATTTACTAACACTAGTTGATAATATACAGAGTGAGCCTGGAGGAACAGCCCAGACTTCAGCAGTTGGTTGGACACAGAAAAATAATTTTAAAAAACTTATATGATCTTATCCGATTTTCTTTTATTTAAATTGTATAGCCTACTTACAAATAAATAATGTTTCATACATTTATTAGCACTTTGGCTACCGAAGTCTTATTTAATAAATGTTCTAAAACACCACCGTTTACTTCTAAACATTTTTAATTACATCTTGGAAGGACGACAATAGCCCTCTTTATTGTTTCATATCTTTCTTTGATGCGCCAGTAGCATTTTTAATACTTTATATATTTATTCAAATACTTTGTATACTTCATCTTTGAACCAGTCCTATAAACAATAATCAAGGTCTGGAGTTCTTCGAGGCCAACTAATTGGGCCTCCGCGACCAATCCAACGATCTGAAAAAGTTTCATTAGAGTAATGTTATCTCTTAGACATAAACTTCCCTTACTTTAAGCTACTTAATAAAGTTTTGATTTTTGATTTTATCTTCAGATAGGTACCGGCGTGGAGATGTCAGTGTCACTGAAGAGGATCTGTATGATGTACCTCGTACCCAGGCCCGTACCCCTGAGCTCGGAGTGGTACGGCATCTTCTCTCCCTTCACGATGAACCTCTGGCTCGCCATCATCCTGGTCTACCTGTCGGTCAGCCTCCTCTTGCCGGCCATAGCCTACCTGGACTCCAAGATTTCTGTTTTCGAATGTCGTGAGTAGTAGTCGTCCACTTGGATTTAAAAAAAAAAAAAAAATATAACTTGTAACGGCATGACAGACTATAATTAAACTTTTAATTAAATAATCAAAACACTTCATAGATAACCTGATGAATATTATTTTTATGTATTTGCTTCTGATAAAACAATAAATACTCATAACTAAGTAGATACTTAACAAGAGCATTCTTGAAGATATCAAACTGGACATCTAGATAAGAAATGTAGCTACTTCTTAAGCGATAAAAAAACTTAAAATACCTATGTTACTTTCCTGTATCAAAATCTAGTGCCTAAATAAAAATCCTACCAAATTCCTAATCCAATAATCATGTCACTATAATGACCACGGACTATCTCTGGGATGACCTCTCTATTTAGTGATGTAAGTGAGCTCAACTTTTTGACAAGCTATTTTCTTTTCTTACTCACTACTTTTAAATGAGGAGAACAATCAAATTTCTTGGGAGGGTGACCATGTACTGACTCTCTTGTGGGGTTGGATACTCCTTTTCGATACGAGAACCGCGGCCTTTGTGACGTAGTTTTGGTCTCAAAGGCCGCATGCGGCCTCCAAACGTTTTTACGCGATATTTATTAATCTAGTGCTAGAATTGACATTTAATTAGTTTAGTAACGATAATTTGGAAATTAATATAATTAACTATAATGTACGTATGTGGGTGTGTATATTTCGTGCTAAATAAAAATATCAACGGTGAAATATAAAACATTACTGTGGCCTCCACTAGGGAAATTTTATAAGAGTAGTAGCAGACCTTCAAAAAACTTCATATAAACAATGGCCCAATTTTCAGAAGAAAAGTAGGAAATCCAAGTTTAGTGTTTTTAAAGTGAGTCATGCTTTTTGATGAATAGGAAGCGATAACAAAGGAATATTTATTTTAAGTAATTAACAATTGTTTCACTGTAAAAAAGACAAAATTTCTTTTAAATGAAAATAGAGCTTGTCATTGTTAAAACCATTTAAAGAGGACTTTTGAGCGGCCCAACTAGGCTAAGTTCGGTTTTTAAAAAAAATCATAAATTTTTTTTTTTTTTAATTTCTTTATTGAGTATTATAACAATCTGTCTGTTGGACATTGGTTATAGTGAGTTAGGATGACATTCACACTATATGTACAAAAAAAAATAAAATAAATAGAACAAAATAATAATCAAAAGTATATACAATAGACAATAAAATAAAATAACCTAAAAAATAAGAAAATTAAAACTAAGAAAAAAAAACACATGCATACCTATATACAATCAGGCGAGGGAACTCCAGGAGAACCCTGCGCTACTCTCCCAACCGCGTCACTGGTACTAAAGCCAGCGGAGATTGGTCGAGAGCACTTTAGCCACATACACTCATGTCTTGAGTGAAGAATCTGGCCATTGCCAGAACTCCAATTTATACAAACTACAAAAGGTCGCGAGGCCACTGCCGTTTCAACCTTCTTGGAGGATTATAGGGATGGGAGGTGCTTGATAGGGATTGTGCAAGAGGATTTGGGTGGTAAGTAAGGTTCTGGTGAAATTTGGAGAATTTTTCTGGGATAAGGTCTAGGACAAATGGGGTGTTGAGGTCATGATGTTGGGTTTTGTTGGTTACATAGAAAGGAGCATCGACTATTGTTCGAAGAACTTTAGACTGGAAGGATTGGATGCGCTTGATATTAGAAAATTTTGCTGATCCCCACAGTTCTAGTCCGTAAGTCCAAATAGGTTTCAGTATTGTCTTGTAGATCAGTAGCTTGTTTTCAATGGAAAGTTTAGATTTTCTGCTTAGTAGTCGGTATAGTTGGCCGTATCGTCGGTTGAGTTCTTGTCTTTTGAGTCTAGTACGCGGGTTCCAAGTTAGTCTTCGGTCTAAATGAAAGCCAAGATACCGGACTGTGTCTGAGTAAGGAAGCTGTATGGAATTAAAGAGTACTGGTGGACAGGAATTGCGTCGGAGTGTAAAGGTAATATGTTGGCATTTAGATTCATTAACTTTAATGCGCCAGTTATTCCACCAGTGCTCAATCAAGGTGAGGTGGCTTTGGAGATTTAAGGATGCTATTTCGGGATCAGAGGTGGATGATAAGATTGCGGTGTCGTCAGCGAATGTTGCAAGAAAAGTATCGGAATGAACAGGGATGTCAGCAGTAAAGAGGATGTAAAGCACGGGACCCAAGACGTTGCCTTGGGGAACACCGGCTTTAACGGAGTAGATATACTCGCTTCGGCGGTACATATACTAAAATTGGAAATCATAAATTATTGGAATTTTTTTTTCATGTGGATATTGGGGTATTACAGATACCCCACTTCTAGAAAAATTTATTCGTTTAATAAGCTTCAAGTCCATACTAATTAAATTGAGGTTTATTTGGCAAATTCTTGTGAGTTACCTAAATTGTGTAAAGAAATGTCATTTTTCTTCTTGTCTCCTAAAAATATCTGTGTTTTCAACAAAATTGACTACAATTCAACTGTTTCAAAGCATTTATTTCTGGTTTTTCTATGATCTGGAGTAAATAATAATTTGTTTTTTATTTCTTTTTTTTTTTTTTCTTTTAATGAAAGTTACAACTGTATTACAGCAAAAATACGACAAGTAAATGTGACATGTACAACATGAAGAGAAACTACCCATTGGTAGAACTCAAATTAAAGTTATATATTAGAAGGTCCCGAGGCCATCTTCTTTTCAGACGCCTCGGAGGGTTATCAGGGATCGAGGAGGAAGCAGGGTTTGAAACGAGAGGATTCGGATGGTTCTGCAGTTTGTTATGGAAGGATAGGTATCTGGATTGGGCCAAATCGAAAACATATGGAACATTAAGGTCTTTATGGATGATTTTATTTGTGACAAAGTAAGGAGCGTTGAGGATTTTGCGAAGGATTTTGGATTGTAAGGATTGGATACGAGAGGAATTCGATGGTTCAGTGGAGCCACAAGGTCAATTCCGTAAGTCCAAATAACTCTTATTATTGTCATATATATGAGTCGTTTGTAATTGATTGAAAGCTTACAGCGTTTGTCTAGTAAGTGCTGCAGTAGTCGAAAACGTCGGACGGTTTCTAGTCGTTTCAGTCTGGTATGGGAGTGGATATATAATAATAAAAATAATTCCCTAAGTACACGTTTTTCTTGTGTTGAACGTAAAGTTTAGGACATTGCATTTGTCACTTATAAAGTATACAAGTGGAAAGTAAATAAGTGTTGATGAGTTTTCTAATCTAATTAAATAGAAAAAGTTTGCCGATCTCCATGTTGAATACTTCTCAATTCCGATAATTTTCGTAAATAAAAATGTTGTAGGTTACGATGAGATGAATGTATTAACGAATTTTTAGGTGGGTGTTAATAACTTGATAAAAAGCGGTCTGTACCACAGACACTGTTGCTTTTCAAATGTGAAATTGATTACCTTTTGATTTTGGATAGTTTTTTGCCGTCATAAATTGTCTTGTTTGTCAAATAAACTTCTGTAAATGAGTGTACTCTTTTTTGAGATAAGAAACATTTAATACAAATACAATAAGATCTCAAATTGCGAAGAAGTACGCAGTGACATACCATTTGGAAACCTTTGAATCTGGATAATCCTGTTGGAGTCGAATTATTTAGTTACACATTGTATAGTAACTGATCGGATACTGAGTTACTATCGAATAAACAAGAAGATTTATCTCATTCCTTCCTTTACAAGCTGTTATTATAGCCGAGAGAGCCGGACCGTAATACAATGACACAAGGCCGAAAGCTCCATTAGCATTCTTGCCTCCTCCGACACATTAATCATTCTACAAATTTTGACTAACACTTGCCGATGCAAATTATTGCCTTTTTAAAATTGACAGCTATAAAATAAAATATATTTTAACCTCGTATCTTTCACCCGGCGCAAGGTGGATGAAAATTGATTTTTTTTCTCAAAAAAAAAAAAAAAAAAAACCATGTCGTTTCTGATCTGTGAAACACAGAGTAATAATATTGGTACCCCTTATTCACTATTAATTTTTTTTTTTAAGATGAAAACATTCAAAAGTTGTTATGATCGAAGCAGTGAGAGAAATTTAAATATTTTATTTAATCTTCGAATCTGCACCTGTCTACGAACCATTGACAATCAGCAGATGGTATGATAAAATTAATGAAACTGACATGTCAGGCATGGGGAAGGATAATACCAAGCAGTACCTTTTCCCTAGATTGATTCATTTAAGTAAGACGTCTCACTTCCAGCGTCGTTTTAATCTCCTCTTCTGATGGGCATGTCAGCTGAAGTCATATTTCTTATTAGTATGTTAGTATATGTGTGTGAATTAGTATGAAATCGATTGTAAGGTAATAGAACATTAAAAATACTATAAAATAATAATCATAAAATTTGGCCACTAAAACTTTTATTTCAAATGAATATTCCATCAATAATAAACAAATACCAGTTTAATTCAACTATCAAACTCAAACAGTGCTTACATACGCAGTTCGACACAGCTGGAATTTATTTCAATATTTTATTAGCAATCGTCTAAATGCAACAATAGATTTTCGGCCGGCTTTTTTGTTCGATTTTTATGCGGTGCATTTTTGCTTCCTCACTACCGAAGGTAGGGAAGTATTGTATGAGTGCGAGAGATAAAAAAAAAATTTGTTCTCAGAATCAAAAATTTCTACTCGCGTTTTACGTTTCAGACATCAAGGATCAAATTTGGTTCGGTATCTCTCTGTAGTCAAATCGATGTAATGGGCATATCACCTACTACCATTTATCTAATTTTCAGAGATTGTGCAGGTTGTTGTCTAGATGGTACCATATCAATTTTATCAAATTCCATCAAGCACTACAGATTACGCACGCGCAAACGTATTTTAGTAGATATCGCAATATTTCAGAAACGGCTCGTTCGTTTTGGTTCATTGTTGGATAAAAGGTAGATATTAGTGATAAGTTAATTTTGCGTCAATTTTATTTAATTCTATCCAATACTTTCC